TCCTTAAGCGAAGGCGAAACTGAATCAGATTTACTCTGCCATCCGTTTCTGGTTTTTGGATTTAAAAAACAGCAAAACGAGCGATGTCCTAACGCAAAATTGGCGCAAAATCGACAGGGCGGTTCCAGTCGACCCCAATAATTACATTTTTGAATTTAATTACTGAAATGAACAAATGACATTTTAATGAATATTTAGGCTACAGCTCTGGTTTTAGCATATGGCGACATATGGAGCAAAATATGGTATGTTCGTTGTTGAGATTGTCGTCCGTATTGAATGCTTCCTCAGCGCATTCGATTATGGCAATCGTTGCCGGTAATTGAATTTTACTGTCAGAGGTTTCAAACTTATCGGATTAAGGATTCGCACGATGCATGGCTAGCTACTGCTTATAGCTGCTTGACTAGCGCTTGATTGGAATCTGCGGTCAACGGGAGCAAATTATCGAGCACAAACGGAAAACGGGAAAAGCGCAATATAAAATTATATGCGATATGATCAATTACGGCTCTATTCAACAACTCATTGGCAACGAGGTCGATGGCATCAGCAAGCATCATGGCTGTTCGCTCGCGATGGACACTGATGACGAACCGTTGCAATGTGTTGTCTGAAGATTTTGCCCATTATTAAATCTCTTGACTAATTTCATAACTCTGTCACTTGACTGGACCTTAAGGGACACGATGAACCTGAATATGACAAGGGAACAAATGCATAACGATAAAACAAAAAGTGAAAAAGTGGATTCACAGCAGGCTGACCGGAGTCCGGTCCAAAATCGCCGTTCTTCTTTCTCGATGTCGATCGAACGTCGCACAGCGAACGGAACGACTGGCCTTTGGTAGGCCTCATTTCGACACTTTCGCTTGCATTCCACGACGAGACGAGACGCCGTACATCGTCTTCCAACAACTTGAACTTCTTCTAACATTTGCACACCACGTTTGCCACGTTGGTCTGTCGCGCAACTTCACTCTCCCGAGATGAGCAAGGCTCTGTATCAACAGAAGTCCTATTAAGCGATGACTTTCTCATCGTCCGTGTGACGTGTCGTCAAGTTCCTTGGGAGCCAATGGCGCAGGTGTTGATGAAAAGCCCCTTCAGGCATCGGACTTCGGCAATTGTAAGAAATTATTGGGAAGGGCAGGCTTTGAGAGGTTGCCCGTTTTGTAACAGTTCTCCATCAGCCTCTTTTGCCACGTATGTTCTTTCGAATACTTTTACAGTCGCCCAGAAGGAGTCAAGAACGGAGGAATAAGAAATCCGGGGTTGGCACGTGCCACAACCGACTGTGCGTGACGTTGACCCATCCACGATGACTGCGTAAATATTATGAAAGATAGGTCACTGAGTACTTCGCCACAGTTCCCGACTCTCCTTCTTTCTCATCCCGGTTTTCAACCGGCAACGTTGGAGGTACTGTACCGAACGAGGCGCAAGTTTTCAGGTTAGTGAATGGTAAGGGAATTTTTGTTCGAAGAACCGTTGTAGAAATCAGCATCCGCACCTATGTCTCAACGATCTATCGATTTTCAAGTCCTTTGGCAGCAATTAATTTTCATTTGCTTTTGTTCTAATTGTCAGAGGTGCGTGAAAGACCGTTGTTCTAGCAGAATGTCCGTTTCCAAGCTGTATTTTTTAGGATGACTAGAAAGCATAAAATTTTATTTTGTCTGTTTTAAGTGGATTGGATTTTTGCGGATCATCAACTTTGAAAGCAACTGCTGAGAATCCACCAAAAAAATCTGAAGAGGGTCTGCGACAGAAATCTTTCTGTCTAGTCTGTGCAGCATATTCCAGGAATGGCACGGATGGGTGAATGGCCATGTCTTAGGGACTATCAAATCATTACACAGTTTCTCACCATCTTGACGCAGGTGTCGGCTGAGTGTATTGTCGTCTGTTGTATTCATAATCCTCATGGTTTAGACCGGAGAAACGCACCCTGGCGCCGAGAACGTCATTGGAACATTTCACAGAGCCACTTGCTAGCAGGTGACATTTTCAAGTTCCATTATGATTTCCACCGTGCACTAAATTGGTTGAACTTGCTATCAGACAGAAGTTTACTCTCTAAAGACCGCTGGTATTCATATGCACCAGTTGAGTGCAACTCTGACGAGTTAAGAAACTTAAAAATCCTGTGGTAACGTTTACGAGTGATGGTAGAGAGATACGCCGTGGCGATCAAACGATTATAGCAATGCATCGGCTAAAAAGGGATTGTGATCATGCATACGTACCTGAACAGCATGGGAAAGTTTGGTCGCATCAAGTCTCTTTAACCCTATGGTATTATCCGTCATCTATAGCCATTGGTACTGTAGATCGATCGAAAGAGTGTACCTCAGGATGTAAGTGGCAGAATCGTCTTTCCAAGCATCACGGACGCGACGAGGCTCAAGAAAGTATGGAACAGCCTTGTTAATGAAACAATGCTCGATTGAGAGAGCACAATAGAAATAAACATGGTTGCACATTCATTCAGGATGCACAGGATAGGATTAGAATGCAGAATCTCTTGTGGTTGTATGGAGCGTGGCTAAAAGGCACATTAGACCAATGGCTCACCTATATTGAACACCTTGTTTCTTTGTACCTTGAATTTCAAGCAATGAAGCTTATTTGCATACACCAACCAAACAGTAATAACGGTAAAAAATCATTAAAAAAAATTGAATCTCACTACTCTTGTCAACGGCCGTTCTGCCACGTAAATTAGAAGACGTTGACGGTCAACACGTATGAGCGCCATGGCTCAAATGCAACAGTTGAGCGACGAGAGTAGTTAATCATTTTTTGTGAACATGATTTTACTTCCTGGCATAGCCTCATGCAACCGTGAATTGCGCAGCTGCAAATGAACTATATTTTGCACTAAAACTTTGTCGACAAAGAAAGACCATCGTGGAATCTCCCTGGACACGTTTTCAACATCTTTCCGACGCCCAAGGTTGGTCTACCAGCATGGCAGTAGAGGCTTTTGCTTCCTTCTGCTGACACTACCTAAGTTTCTCCCTCATCGTCTACATTTTTGTTCATCTAA